CTTGCCTAATGCTGCTGAAAGGCTATCAATAATTCGTACTCTTCATTTTTACTTGGAAAGGAATCGTTTTAATTTGGGTAGGAAATTATAATTGTTTTGATTGTAGTTAATACATCGGATTATGAAATGCAATTCGGTCGTAAGTCAGATTCGAGAACTCATCGCTAGAAATTATTGGTCACTTAACATATATATCTCGGAAAGCCAAATTTACTACCAACAGACATATTAATCGAAAAATAACGAAAATTAAAGCCATTTAAGTAAATTCTTGGAAGCTGGATTGCAAATGAAATCTTTTTGAATTACTAATCGATTATTGAAAATTTTTGTATAAGCTTCGAACCAACAAGCAATTTAAAAATTAGGAGAGATGTGAATTTCGCGTCAATGAATATTAATTTTTACAAACTTTTTTAATTCTTAGCCTTGCTATTGATCGGCTGATGGATTTACGGTGCATTATTTTAGAAATCTATCATTCAGTCATCTTTGAATTTCTAGTGTCTAGGATACATTCTCTGAACTGTTGTCTATGTCTTAAATGTGAACCCAAATGCGGACATCTCGCTCTGAGGTATACGTAACTGTTACTGCTGTCATTTCTAAAACTCGGTTGAGGTACAAATAGAACATTATCGTTGTGTAATTTTTTAGCTTTGTTTTATTGCGAGACTTTCCAAATTAGACCGAGGGTTAGGCCTTTGTACATTTAGGGTTTACCTTGTTACAAAGTTGTTACATCCGCCGACCGGAGCATAGTCGATGTCGCCGCCACAGGGTTCAAAGAAACTTCTTTTAAGTCAAATAAAAATACACGACTATTGTACAATTACTCAGTTATTAATTGAATGCACTAAGTAAAAGTTTATTTAGGAGAGCGCGCTTATCTTGATGAAGCATAAAAATAAATCGAATCAATCAATGTTCTAATAAGCTAAAGGATCTTGGTTTTAATCTGGAACAGGTAGAACTATCGCGCCATCATGCAGTTGGTGGTAGAACTGTCGCGGTCACCAACTAGTAACGAATCTGGTCGTAGTACCGTGGTCGCTTCCTGTTTACGAACTGGTGGAACTGTCGTAGTCTTTAGCTGGTACCAAACCTGGTAGAACTACCATGGTCATCAGCTGGTACTGAACCCGGTCGAACTGCCTAACTAAAAAGTATCAAACCTCGTGGAACTTTCGTGGTCTACAAAAAGTACCGAACCTGGTAGAAATATCGTCACACCAAGAAATACTGAACCTGGTAGAAGTATCGCGGTCACCAAAAAGTACCGAACCTTGTACAAGTATAATGGTCACCAAAAAGTACCGAACCTGGTATAAATATCGTGGTTACCAAAAAGTACCGAACCTGGCACAAATATCGTGGTCACCAAAAAGTACCGAACCTGGCACAAATATCGTGGTCACTAAAAAGTACTGAACCTGGTAGAAGTATCGTGGTCAACAGCTGGTCCCGGGCCGAGAGCTCACACAAGTCAGTTGGTTATTTTAATGCCACCTCTGGAGCTTGCAATCTGGCCAGCCAATTGCATTGCGCCTCTAGTTTACGGCAGGCAAGTTGGCCCAGAGCTGCCGTGCAGTGCGGTTCATTGCTACCATAACTGGTTTATCAGAGGCCACCTGACCGCCTGTTTTGCTTTGTTTTGATACAAAACAAAATTCTTGATCAATAGTTAAAACGTATCATGACTCGCCATATTCACTGAGTGTCAATAGGCTGATAACAGGGATGTATTTTTGTACAAAAAGCTCCTTGTAAATTGCATACCGTTTCAACGTGACGGTTTTCATTGTTCTTTGGACGGCCAACGCTGACACAGCTTTAACTTTTTACTTTAGACAGCTCTCGGTGTACGGTCTCAATCTTGCAATTCAATTACGGTCGGCCATGACCAGGGCTATTGTATCGTTGTGCAGTCTTGCTCTGAAGTAACTGTATTGTCCCATCCTGAAGTGCGTTTAATGTCTTTTGGAGTTTACAATAATTACGCTGCGGAGTCAATTATTCTCAAATAAATTGATGAAATTTAATTCAGAATACCTGAACTGAACATTTTTATCTTTAAAATTCTCCTGTATCATATACATTTTATTGTGTATTTCCAGGTTATACGGCCAATAACTCTTGATATAATGTCTTTTAAAACCAAGTTACAAACTTTCTCAGGACTCTGGGTAATTTGATAAATTTCTGATAGTTTGAAAATTTAATGGTTACTCAAATTAAATTATTGAAAACTTGCAAAGAAATGCATCATGTGAATGAATTTCTGAAAGCCTATAAAGTACGGAACATTTTTTGGGAGCACTGCAATAAAATTCGTCGTTCAAAAGGACCTGCGGCATAAAAACTCCGTGCAAAAACTATTCCTAAAAACGCAGCAGAAGGTTTACGGTCGAGCTTTTGTGTTTTGAGGCGAGGCTGCGGTTGTCATAGACGGAGAAAAGAAACTTCTGAAATGTGGTAAGTTTTTTATTATCAATATAGAGTTTGAGTGGAAGATAGAGCAGGCCTAGGGCTCAATGAAACAAAGGACACTAAAGTTTTGACGAACGTTATCGCCAGTTAGAAGGAACAACGGCTACGCCGGCAGACACGTACTGATTCTCCCGGTTTATTTTTTATGCCAGAAACAATCAAACTAGGGACATTAATATGCATAGAAACATGGCTGGTAAATGCATACACGGAAAAGATCGTCCCCAAATGAGCCTGAAAATAATTATCACATAGCTTATTCTCAAGCAAACAAAATTTCGTATGAGGTGGAATGAATACTTTTTGATTAAATTTTTGCTCATGACAGTTATGTTTTACAGACTTGATTCCTCAGTGTAGAATAAATTTTGCGAGCGTGTAAATATTTTTCATAATAGAATTACGTAACCGCAAATACCAAATATACATTGGGCTCTTTGTAATCAATGCATGATGTTTACGAGCGCCATGTAAACGTATCGGTATATAAAAACGGAAAGGGCAAGTTGAAGGATACGAGGTTAAAGAGGTAATAAGTCAAATAGGGTCACGAGTTTATGAAATGGAGGGTCTATGGAATTGTGGGTTATGGGTCTGCCAATAGCCATGAGCGGTGATGTGTGTGATGTTGGGTCAATATGAGGGTTAAGAGTCTTAGAGTCATGAGCTCAGTGAGGGTCATGAGCTCAGTGAGGGTCATGAGCTCAGTGAGGGTCATGATCTCAGGGAGGGTCATGATTTCAGTGAGGGTCATGATCTCAGTGAGGGTCATGATCTCAGTGAGGGTCATGAGCTCAGTGAGGGTCATGAGCTCAGTGAGGGTCATGATCTTGATGAAGGTCATGAGTCAAATGAAGGTCATCGGCATAAAGAAGCTCATCAACGCATTAAAGGTCTTGAGTCTAATGAGTGTCGTGAGTTTGTGAGTCTAATGAGAGTCACCGACCCATTTTGTCCTCACAATGCAGTTAACATGAGGAAAACATACAAGATCCATAAGAAAATTAATAAGTGCAATTTTTTATGTCATTCTTTTACAACAAATAATTACTCTCAAACTTAACGATTATGATAAAGACAAAGAATAAATGCAACAGTTATCAATTTGAATTAAACACGTGGTATGCATATGACTTCATATTCTCTTAATTCTTTCGCGACTTATTTAATGAATGTTTTCTGACATAAATTCGATTTAGTTTGACTCAGAAGTCATGCATAGAAACGAGAGAAAATCGTTGCGTCTCGAAGAGTTTTGTATAATAATATAATATTATTTTATCATGTATGCAAAAATTGAACAGTGAAATAACGACCCCGGCTGCATACGTCGTCTATCTTATGATAAGCATTATCTATAAAAAATATATAGATCGATGCATAACGTTCAGGCCTTCCCGGGTTTGGATTGTAACATAAATGCCTGTTTTAATTAAATTTATACCTAAAATATATTTGGTTTCGGGTATTTTTAATTTAAACAAACGTTCGAGTGTGGAAAATGACTCTACGCTAACATCTATGAAGTACATATGTACAGGGGTAACTTTATGTACAAATCTGTACAGACGTGAAACATATCGCATATCTTAAAGCTATTTGGAACTCAAAGCATAAAATTTGAGGACCTAAGCGACAGCAACGGTATTGTACGCCAATTCATTATTATATTCTCTCAACTATATACGTAAGTTTGTGTCACTGTTGATCTATGAAACAAATTGTAAACTGTCGTAACTCCGCGTAAAATCAGAAACTCATATAAATTTTTCTACAGGAAGGTATTGTAAAATTTTTCTCAGCGCCTCATGAATGCGTAAACGTCACAGTGACCAAATAGAGAAGCATTGTCTTCTAGCTGCGAATTTATTCTTTAATTATCCTAATTTTTATCACTAACCTCGTCTGAAGAAATTATTTAAAACGTAACTCCATGTTAACATTAATATCTATCTAATTTATTATCTGATAAATCACTCTTTATAAATAATAATTTTCTACAACATTTTTATTTCTAAAATTAACGTGAAGACTGCTTTCGACGGAGGGAAATAGAAACGGAGAACCAAAACATGTTAAAAGTATTGAGATATTTCACTAATATGAGACGGAAAATAGTATATGGCGGAGAATCACAACATGTCATAAATAGCGAGACAATTCACTGGGAACAATCGACTTCACAAAATAGCCGGGGCTGAAATGAATTTTTAGAACTATAACATTTCTCTTTTCTTCGAACCTCCAAGGAAATAAACAGTTTTGAAACTTACTTTGATACTTTAATTGTTCATCCTCTGCCTAATTGCTGTGACTTCTGAATTCTTAATAATTTAAAGAGAATTTTCTTGTGCAACGGCCGCTATGACAATTTCTATGTAGAAAATTTCATTTGTTTACGAATAAAAATATTCAGACAATCGGCCGGTGACAACGCCGTTATATTTTTTATCAATGAGTTAAGAATAAAACTAATATGATGCCTAACTGATGCATTTGTTTATATCCTACTTGCCTTGGTGGTTTGAAAAAAATTAATCGTTTATTTTAATGATCATTCTTGAATACATTAGAATACTCAGGGGCAACACTTAAAATTGCTTACGATGCCAATAATAGTAAATAATTCTCGAGGTCTAAATTTAACCAGATAATTTTAATTTTTGAACACAAACACCAACTATCACCGCGTCAGTTTGACTACTGTAAAAATTTTAGAGCTGGGAGCTCGTTAAACATTTTTCTTAACATGGAAGACATGTGACAATATGATAACAATTAATTCGAAGAAGCGTGTGAACTTGAAGCGATATTCTCAGAGCAATTAACGATGTCTTTAATTGATGGCAGCCACAGTCGCAATATCTTTTAATAAAAAATTGGAATAATCTTGGTGACGCAGGAATTCCGACCATCTTTTGAGTTATTAACTACGTTTATAAATACTTCTTGAGAATCTCGCATCAATTATGCAGCTCATCAAAATATTTATCGCAATAAAACAATTACTGAATGCGTGCCATGCTGAAGAAATGATTTTTTTAAGGTATTTAATTTGTGTATATATTCAGAATTGATTCCTTGCAAATTCGAATTGCACTGCCTTTCCGGCTCACATTAAATCGCAGTTACATTTTAGCTAAAAACGAAGTTCACTGAATAGATATTTGTACACTGTGTAGACTAGGAAAATAATTTAATCTTTCCCAATAGCATCTAATATCGGAACAATATCAGCCAAACCAATTTAATATAACACGTTGCAACAAAAATCTATTGAAATACCAGTACCCTGTACTCCAATGCTTGTACGAAGTATATCCTGAAGTATGAAACTGACAACTTCCTGACGTGGAACACAACCTCACCCTGATAAGTACAGTACAAAACGTAGCTCGAGAGATCGTTGCGAGCAGCCAGCCCTATACGGTGGTCTCGTAATCGACGCAGAAATAGTCTCCCGAGTAAGCTCTTTGTCACCAGGTTCCGTCTTTGTCCGGCGGAAGTAGCAGGTCTTGAGTGGCACTTTTGATTCCGTTGTTCTGTATCGTCGGCACCTCAGCCACAGTGTCTTCCTCTTCCTCTTCTTCTTCGTCCTCTTCTCTCTTGGCGAGAAGTAATTTTCTGTGGCGCATGACTGCCGCCAGAAGCAAAAGAAGCGTCAGAAATAATGCAATGCCCACGGCGAGCGTCACCCAGGGCAATGCTGCTAAAATACCGCAAGCACCGGCGCTCTCGTCCGTGTACGATGGACAATGAGGTATTCTATCACACCAAAGATCTTGAGGAATACAAGCCTCGATCTCTGGACAACGATGGGGGCATGGATCCACCCCCACCGACGAGATCGGTGCTGTGTGAATGGGTTTCCAAACACCAATCCACTGGATGAAAACTTCCGCTGTCTCATTGCCAGCGTACTGGACAATGAGATCTCGATTCATTTTAATTTTCTGCTTGCCTTTGTACTGTGAAATGGTTTCATTTCCCCATTCTCGATTGACGGGCGCGTTAAATGAGAGGAGCAAGCTATGTCCGGGGTTGATTTCATGCTTTGGCTTGTCTTTCCATCCTGTGCTGAAAACTTCCATTTTGGTCGAACCGGACCCTGGGCAGACCGACGCCAGGGGCACGGTGCCCCCGACCGCAAATATGTTTATTCTGCTTCCTGATTTACAGTGGCCATTGCTTGCGTCCCATCCCGGTACGGAAAGGAACAGGAAAGCCCCATCAGGAGCTGCGACTATCCTGGGGTGGGAGAGGCAGGATGGATATCCTTTCCATCCGACCGTGAAATTTCCATATTGCCCTGTCGACCGACGTACGTTGCACGCCTCTTTTGACTCGAAAATTTCAAACTCTCCTTCGAAGTAAAAGTCATTGTAGTCTTGTGATGATGTCATTTGAGGTATTGAAAAGGTTAATCGTATTTCATTAGTAAAGGAACGGAAAATCATTGGATAAGACTGAGTAGAATTACATATGCAGCCTCTAGGGAACTTCACGCCAGACCAGAGCTCCTCGTCAACAGTCAAAACGGCACCAGCTTTTGATTGCAAATGGAAGCATTCATATCGCATTGAAGAGCTTTGATATATCGTAAGGCAGTCGCTACCCATTCTCGACCTGTGAATGGTGAGCTGAATTTTTTGATGCGAGGCAGCCCGGAAATTGTACACACACTGCAAACTCTTGCTCCCTCCGCGGCCGTATAGGAAGACATTTTTTGGAGACGCGAACATTTTGTCATGTCCTTCCCTGAATATTCTATCGCAAAGACTATCAGCAGAAGCTGGTTCTCCCCACTGCTTCTTATCAACAAACTCATAACGAGCGAGAAATTCCACGTGTGCAGGGGTCGTCCCCGCCGCATAGTTGAGCGTGAGTGTCAGAGCAGGACTTTGTGAGACGTAACTCTCCTCTGGAGGACAGGGGGCTGTTCCTCCGGCGCCTCCAGGGGCATGAACTCCACTACACACTCTCGGGAATTCATCGGCTTTGCAGAACTTCCCCATCAAAGTGGAATCGTCCAAGGCCCCGCTACTGTCGTATATTGCAAGTGTGTTGGGGCACTCACTCGGAGGTGGAATTTCCCCATGCTGAACATGACGGTAGTGAAGGAAATACAGCCAAACCACTTCGGAAGTTTCGGCCGCCATCTTCCAGATGCAGGTCGTGTTGGCTAGCAAGGAATGTACGGGCGCTTGTACGTAGCCGCTCCGCTGGCCTCGGCTGCTGATGTGCCACTGACACGCGTTGGATGAAGGGAACAATGCTGATTCCGGGGTATCAATGCGACGCACATAAGCTGTAGAATCTCTATCCACTAACTTAATCTTAACATCTAACTGGAATCCGAAGACTCGCCTTCTCGGGGAATCTTGGAAGGGAAAGTCAAAAGGCGAGGCGTGAAACAATAAAAGTAAGTTCGGACCACTAGCAGTGACAGGGGAAAGCGCCCCACCCTTACAAGCTTTTAATAAGACTGGTGCGTTTGTACTGTTGCCATCAAACACCATAATGTAATCATGCAAAATATGACACGAATCACCCAATAATAACTTTTTATCTCTTTTGACGTGCGGGGCATTACGGTCTTTGATGTATATTAGATGAGGGTTCCTCTGTCGTACCTGAATTAGTGCAACTTTGCCCTCTGGAATATGAGTTTGGCGAATATGATAATAGCAAGTAAGGTTACGGGGATATAGTCCAGGATAATTAGGGGACTGAACTTTGCAATTGTGTGTATCACAATCCTCGTAATATTTATCACAAAACGTGCCTGGGACATCCTGCCCTCTGTATATGGGGCTGTAAGGGACCCCGTACCTTAAAACAGCCCTCTCTTTCACAAGGAATCTGTACGACACCCTAAGAAGAGGAGGATCTTTTTGTTGGGCCACTGCTGGGTTTATTTCGCTGGCCTTGCTTAGGTTGAAGACTCTGAGCATCAGCGTGATGGCTGAGGTCTCAGAATAATAAACGTTGCGCCCCCAGGCAGCGCCACACCAGTAGCCTGCGTTCAGCGGGCGGCTCAGCTCCTCTAGTTGCATGTAGCCATCCGGGCACCCGCCTGATATGTGGTTCATGAATCTGCCAAGTGAATATTTTCCTCATTAGTTCTAAAATTTTACAATTACCGCTAGTTTACTCAATTACATCCTATGAACCTAATTATATTTAATATTGTTATGTTTTCATGAACTGACCTGCCGAGGTTGAACTCTTCAAAGCTCAGCTGGACGAGGTCGCCGTAGACGTCGCCTGACGCGATGAACGTCAACTGGCAGAAGAATGGCAGGGACCCGCGGCCTGGTCGCGCTACTTGCAGCACGTACGTTGCTCCCACCACTCCGTAGTACGTACGATTGCAAGCTGCACGAGTAGAAAATATGGTTTAAATTTCCTGTTTTCTTATATTTCGTTGAAAAAGCCGCCAAACAATTTATTAAGAGTCCACTCCCTACATCGCTTGATCAAGGGTTAACATTAGAGTCATTGTGATTCGGTGGAAAAGTCCGGTGTTACTCTGCTAGGTGTTACGTTGGCAATTTCAATGTCGTCATCCATCACGGAGTGGCTATTGGTCGTGCCACCTAGTGGGTTAAATGGTCAAATCAGATTTAGGTCGATAAGGCATTCTGTATGATAAAAAACGAAGCATATGAGGCGGTAGTTTGGATAATGATAACCGTATGATAGAGAAGGTAGTCTGAATGATGGTAATGGGATGATGGATAAGGTTGTCAGGAAGGTTGTTATCTTTCATCCGTTGATGAACTGATGGAATATGAGATGGTAAACATGGATGATTTTGATAGGATAAATGTATAGGTAGTCGAGGTGGTGGTGGGAGGTTTGTTCCAATGTATCTGAGGCAAGCTAGTCGGACTAAGGATATAAGTGCCTCCTGCTTAGTGAGTCTTTGGGGTGGAGGTGAAGATACTGCTATGGCAAATAAATAAATTGCATGAATACAATGGAGCATTAGGGACCCAAGTATGAGAATCAAAAGCACAATAAATCATGCCAGCTCATATTCATGGTGATAAACTGATCCGATGATAAAGAATTTTAAGCACTTTCTCCGCGAAGGAGAAAAAACCTTCCAAATAACTTGCCTCAGGCTTTGTGACTCTCCAAAATATTTCTAAGCCTTTAGAGTTTAGACGATAATTAATAGTTATATTTTGATAACAAATAATTCTCATATATCTTTACGATAAAGACATTTCCACAGTCATTGTATGCAGAGGTTCTGTAATCATCCAAATTATTATTATATAATTGAATATTAAAATAGATCGAATTCAATGAGAATTTAATAGTATTGCGGCTCAGCTCGAATATTAATAAATAATATTCGTAAAGCATGTAATCTTATTCGCTACTCACGGGAGCATCCGGTGGGCTCGTCGCTGCCGTCGGAACAATGCTTCTCTCCATCGCAGTATTGGTCGAGTCTGATGCACTGCTGACTCCGGCATGGGAACTGCGACATGGTGCACGCGGCTGACACCTTCGTCAGCCCTCCACCTGCCACCACAACCGTCACCACCATCCGCCATATCCACATTAACCAGCTGCCTCCACCTGACGTCATCTGCCGGGAAAATTAAACAATGTACACCCAGAGAAATGAGAGGGTCAATTTATAAATAGCGATGCACTGTTTGCACATGCATTTAGTAATTGGCCCGGCTAAAGGGTGTATCAGTGATCCTTCTGCTCTCTGATCCGGCTGTGCGTATGTAAGAAATTTGGTCACTGTCCCAAAATACATTGAGTGGTTATAAATTTTTTTATTATTAGAGAATGAATTAAAAATAATTGAGACACGTACTTAAATTTTGTTGGTTAAAATTTATATTGAATATTTTGTTCATTCTTTAACCGAATTCTATATTAATTTATAGCAGTGGGCCCCAACGACTCTAACTCGACTCATGATTCAAGTGTGGCACACCTGAACGGTAACTGAATTTTAAATTTAAAAAATATGCTCATGAATATTTTATTATAATGCAGTGCATCTTATTACACCCAGTCAAGCGACTTCGTCGTTAACTTTTAAGATTGACCTTTTCACACCTTTATGATTGACATACTGTATGATATCACAAACAGATGAGAGTGCATTGTATCTCGAGTTACAATTCCAAAATCGTTTTATCGGCATAAAATATCCTACCGGAAGAAAGTACTATTATATACTTCACGTTGCCATTAAAATATCACTCTTATGCAGAGACCATTATGATCGACATAAAGTATCACTAATGGATGAAAGTACGATATACTTCGTAGAGCCGTTCGAATATCGCTCTTCTGGAGAGTTACACCTGACGAGCAACTGTACGTCGTCAGGACCTGTGTAGGGCTGCCTTAACTCGCTTGATTGCTGACGCAATTGTGGCCAAACGCTTCGTTTGGCCAGACGAGGTAAGCTACAGTATTCCGTCTCAACTTGGGTACTGTGTTAAAATTATAGGGAACAATATTTGAATCTTTTCGTTGCATTTAATTGTGCCAGGTTTTCTGTCTCAACTTGCTTACAGTATTTAAATTTTGGAAAAGGATTGAAATGTTCTAGCTCCACTTATTAGTGCACAGTATTGAAGAGTTCTGGCTAAATCGTGTCCAGTATTCCATTCCAAATAGGGACTACATTAAAATTTTTCATTTCTCCGAAGTTGAAAATACTAGTCATTGTTCCTTAATAAGTTTGGATTTGGAATACTCGTTTCAGTGGGCACGTGTCTCAACCTAATTGCGGTATGTACTTATTCGATCTCTATTTGTGCCTGATTTTGGAGCAATATGGCTCAACTTGCGCTACGTATTCGGTGCAAAGTTGAACCAATTTACATGCTGTACTTGATCCCGGTATTCGACTAGTGCTTGAGCCGCGTCCTAACTTGATGAGAGGCCAGCAATATCTGCGGCAGGACCAGCAGCGCCGTTACAACAATGCGCGGGATAAATCAAGGGTCGCCAGCACACAACACAGGCTTACTTGCTTGTAGGTTTGTGTATCCCGCTTGTGTGTTCTGGATTTATATGAACGGAACTACAATGAAATAGAGTTTTTGTAAATATTACGTGATATTTACACTCGGCGAGACAATGAATCGCATTTTAATTAATACGAGAACGATTATCCTGAATTACATACACAATTTACCGTCGAATACGATCTGGTACAACAACTACCAAGCTGATTGGCATTAGAATAAATCACTTTCGATAAATTTACATTTCAGTTCTTAGTCCTGAAATTTTTCTTATTGTGTCCTAATTTTTCTTAGTTGATTTCCATCACCCGGGAATAATTTGAATATTACTAGTAAGTTCACTTCAGAATGCCTAGTGATTTTATTGTTCCCCAAAGAATGAACGTCGGGAACCTTATAAATTTAACTAGCTAAACTGAGCTATTCGCTTCGAAACCTTGGGCCGTTCTTTAATGTTTCTATCTGGTCAGTTCTATTTTATCAATCTGGAACATTCTAATTTTTAAGTCAATAATTCCTGTCATATTGTAAGACATTGCATGAAAGATATTGCAATATATTGCTTGTAAGATGACTGCTGCACTAACGATGTTTGGAGAGCCAGCCTCGTCTTTGTCTGACTCGAATTAACTTGGAGCTTCACGAGAGCTGGAGGAACGGTCTTATGTTGTACGACCTACACTGTGTTAGCATTCAGACCAGCTTGGTCTACAATGTCTGGCTGGAGTTGTCTTAATAATCTTGTGTTGGAAATAGTCTTACTTAATAACTACTCAACGAACACTGTTAGCAGTCAGTGCATGAGTGCTAAATTCTAAGTGCTGAATCCCTTCAAAAGTTCCATTTCAGAAATCTAGAACACCAAGTCTATATGTTATTTCACTTTCAAGTAATCCATTGTTTTCGATCGGAAATGCAAACAAAAATTTAATTTCGCAAAAATATAAGTGTTCGTTTGGTAATGATAAATAAGATGACAACATGATTTTTAGAAACGATTTTCAAAAATTATTCAAAAATTTGTTACTATAACAAATCAAAATAATTCGAGGAGCCAAACGCAATCCAGAACTTGTATTGGAAGTTCATGTAACGCATCGAACGCTTGATCGGCGCTCGTGTAATTGACACAAATTGAACCGCAGAGTCAATCCCAAACACCATCAACTCGAACAGAGAGCGAAATTTGGAAAAACATAAATTTTTCTTTGAAAAATGCAAAATTTTCATTTATTGTTGATCATACATAACGAATCTACGCGGATACGAACAAACTGTCATGAAAATTCTGGAAAATAATTATCATTTTAGAATAACTGAAAATTATTCTGCCTTTTGCATTGCAACGAATCCAACAGGGAAAAATATTCTTTCACTCTTCAAAAGTGATTTACGAATACTGAAAATGTGCAGAGTAATCTACACCTGTGAAGTAAATTTCAATTAGTGGCAGCGCCTGGCAGCAATAAATGCGCGGCGCTCGAATTATTGACGTGTAATTCCAAGTCGACGATCTAAGGGGCAATCCAATTTGTGTTTGTCGGTTTGAATAACTCGATTTAGGCAATCGCACGTTGCGTCTAGATTGTTCGGAGCGGCAAAGAGAAATCACGGCCTGGAGTTTGGTGCTGCTGCCAACAGCAGAAGTTGCAGCTGCTAATAAATACACCGAGACTCGCTATACTGCCTTACTTCCCTGGGCTGAATTAAGACTGCCTTGATTGTTGTAGCTGCAGTGGGGNTCATTGCATACTACTATGAGACCTTCGATCGATGGTCGTGATATGATCATTGTATGCCTTGATGAGACCATCGATGGTCGTGAGATGACCATTGTGTGCCTTGATGAGACCATCACCACCCACCATCTACACCACCACCTTGTACACCACCATTGTATGCCTTGATGAGACCATCGATGGTCGTGAGATGACCATTGTATGCCTTGATGAGACCACCACCACCCACCATCTACACCACCACCTTGTACACCACCATTGTATGCCTTGATGAGACCATCGATGGTCCTAGGTATGTCGGTTTAACACAATCGATGTCTAGAACAATATGTCTTACCAACACCATCGATGGCCTAGAGATGACCATTGTATGCTCCGAAACAGCCACCGGTGACCCAGAGTTGACCACTCTGCCGAGATCGTCTTTTCGTGTTGAAAAAACGCAGTCGGGCGCAATATCGCCGAGCGTCAGTGCCTCTGAAAGCATCAAAAGTGTCGCCTTTCCGATAATTAAAGTTGTGCTCTGCCATATGAGATGGCATGCGCCTGCCATATCTTGCCGCCGCCAAAAGAACTGCGACTTCAAGTCCCGGCAAGTGACTCTACACTCAAGAAAATAAATGGGTCGGATTATTTAAATAGTGACACACTTTCTTACTCACAGCACGAAGATAGAGCAGACGAGGCAATGATAGGACTTTATGCTGGGCTAAATTGGGTCTGGATAACCCACACAAGAGCAAAATGTGCATCGCTACTTTGACTTAGTCTCGCTCATTTGTTTAAGTGGTAGCTTTCAATACCAATTATGTTTCCTGAAATGAATCTCTAAATCACAATTTATTCTCTTTCTGAAAAATTATTTATTCTATAATTAACCTCACTTTTCTCGAATAAAATGCTGTCCTCAAGAATCTTTTTCTTGATTCAAGAAACCACAGAATTTTTATGTATAGTAACTCGTTCATCCCCCTATGATTAATTTTTCAGTTTTTACTCAGCAATACTTTAATTGAATTTTAAATTTATAGTAATTTTTCATAATTTGAAACATTTTTTTAATAAAACTGCATTGAAATTGGCAGGTGATGGTTATTTTAGCATATTTTAATTGGGCAGGGTGGCCCAGTGGTTACAGGGCAGGGTGGCCCAGTGGTTACAGTAGAGAGTACCAAGATTGGAACAGAGAGGCGCGGGTTCGATCCCAGCTCTGAGCGCCAGTTTCTGGTCAGAATCGGCAAGGAGGCCGGGCGGTTAAGTAAA